GCTCGGTAGTGAGCTTGGACTTGCTTCCGATATTCGCTTTGGGCGCTCTACTGTCCCGAGCTGCTTGCCTTTGCCACGTGTCGGGCGATCGCGAGGTCGGGCCAAATTTCCCTTCATCAAAAACTAACAATGACAGAATCACAATGCTCAACGTTTCATGATTGTTATATAAGGTCCTTTTGTAACATGTATATGGTTTACTTTTTTTTTTTTTGACCAACAACACATGCAGATGGCTTACTTTCAGTAATTGTTCCTTATTGTCTGTTGTCTTTTTCCCTGTTTCTATCTATTTGTAATGCTTATCTGCATAGAACTCCACATTTCTAACTCTCTTCCATAGATTTCCCACTCTTTTTTATGCAAAACTAGCATTTTTTCTGAGTTCGTATAACATATTTGGACAGTAAGACATAAGTGCAGAAAAACATGCTCAAGCAATCTACTGGTAATTTTCATAATTCCTGATGAATGCAGCAACATACTTGTAGAATCTAACATAACAATAGCAGCTGCTAAGGCCCATACAATATATTATATATAAACAACACATTGGCACCATCTTAACTGGAGATTATTTCTATTCTAATGAACACCATCCAATTATTTCAGAGAATTTTATATGCACATACATATATGAACAACACATACATACATAAAACCCCTTGAAGACAGACAAAAAAAAATCTATAGACAAAAAGGATTGGTTGTACTCTCCAATACCTGCTAACCAAACGCCAGTCCCTGATTAAGCCAAAAGAGATTGATTGTAGCTTCTGCTTGTTTCTTTTTCTGTTCAAAAACGGAAAAATCCACACATTTCTCTCAAGACAAGTGGTCCATATAGCAGCTGCTGGTACCACATATTGCCTTGCCCACCTTGTTCATATCCTTCACATGCCAACCCGTCAACAAGTCTCAGAACAGAAAAAGGGTGGCATCTTACCTTACCACATATTGCCTTGCCCACCTGATTCTTGCTCCTTTTCACATAAAAGACATAAGGAACCTGTCAACTGCTATACCCCTTAGCATATTAATCTTGGTGAGGCACTTATCCAGTGCCACCAGCCAGATGAAGAATTTCACCTTTGAGGGAACCAATATACCCCAGATTTCCTTGTGAAGGAAATCACCAGTTCCACCTTTGACCAGACTTCTGTACAAGGACTTAACTGAAAAGACACCAGAACTATGCCATTTCCACTCCCTTGAATCCTGCCCCAAGAAGGTTGAATTATTTATATTTTTGAGTTGCATATGTATAAATAGCATATTTAAATAAGAAAGATATTAAAAATAGCAATAGAAATTGGCAAAGACAAACAATATCAATGCAGATCAAGAACCATTAGCCCGAATTTTTTTAATAGTTTAACCCTGGGCAATTTGTTTTATCTGGTTCTCTGATGACTGCCAGTTTAGCACCTACTCCCTGGGTATGCTCCTAGTTACTTAATTGTCAATTTTCTCTTTAGTCTCTAGTCTTTACCATTGATAAGCAACTGAATTTTGGGTCCCTGAGTAGCAGAAGCCCATGCCCAGGAACCCTAAAAAAAAACATCAAAATAGGATATTTGAGTGCCCCGAGAATCTAAATGAAAACTTATGCATCCATGAAGGAGTGTCCAGTATCCACACGTGGTGAATATGCAAAGTAATACCAAAATCACCATCTTAGTGGTTTTATATGATCGTCCCCATTTACTTTATCCCATCTCAGTGGGATTAGGAATTTAGGCTGTGTCGATAAGTGCATGCTTTAATTAAGCCCCCTTTTACAAAATTAAAACCTCTCTGTCCAACAGAATGTAATTGTTTTACCAAGAGGAAAAAGAAACTAATTTAAAGGGCATACTACAATGAAACTGGCAAGCACGATCAGAAGACATAGTAAACAAATCGAGGCTAGGGCAAACTCAAATGTATTACCTGTATACCTGTATGAATTGCATCTCGAGTGATCGCCGGAGCAATCAGGAAGCTCAACCGCCGAGCCGGAGAAGGCCCAATTCGAACAGCTTCATCTGCAGATTTGGCATGAACGCTGCCTTTATTTACATCAATTTAAACTAATACAGTTCGAAACTTCGAATCCCCAATTTCTTGGAAGTTTTCATAATTCTGCAATCGAGTTCTCCTCTGTTAGAGATTAAAATTGCATGCCTCGTTATTCTCCCATGTTAAAGACAAGTTTTTCTCTGTAGGAATATATGATATTGCCCCGGTGAATTAGAAGTGATATTGTCCAGTTAAAAATCTCTCGCCTGTGTGTGAGGGTTCCCTCTCGCCATGTGCAAGGTTTTTATCTTTCCCTCTCCCTCATCTCTTCTTTCATTTTTTATTTCTTTTCTCTTTCTTTGTTTTCTTCTTTCTCTTCTTCGATGCAATTGGTGAAGTGGCATCACTCTAGGGCGGACAATGGAGTTGAGCGGGTTTCTACTATTTTGCAAAATGCAGAAGTTATAGTGAAAACAGTCATATTTGTGGCAGTGTGGATGATTCTTTATCACGTTTTGGCTCTTTACCGTGAAACTTCTCGGCCATGGATGAAGATAGTAAACCGTTTAAAGTTGATAACAATGCATACTTTCTTCCTTGGCCTTGCCCAGGACTAGGACTAATGAGCATGATAGCCTCTCTCTCCATTGTTTTCTTTTGGGTACAAGCATTAATTGGTACTTGTAGAGAGTAGAGAGGATGTTTCAGAAATGGTTGTTGCATTTCAATCGTATAGAGGTATAACATGGCATGGCCCGCAGGTGGTCCGTGCAAAGTGCGGGTCATATTATGCCGGTCAGTGCGGTCTTGTGTCGTGTTATGGGCCTAGGCTGTGCCGGACCTTGGGCATGGGCCGAATCAGACTAGACTAGTTTTTTACCTTTTCTTATTTTTTTGAAAATTTTGTTTTTTTTTTTATTTCTTTGTTAAGTAAAACTGCAAAACTAAAATATTTAACTTTCCTTTGGGCTTTGAGAATTATTTGAAAAAATAAAAAATGAGAAATCTAACAAATAAATGAAAAAATACTTAACCAAATAAGAATGAAATAACAAATTGGAAGAAAAATAGGAATTTTATTTCATTTAAATTTGAATGATACAAATTACAAAGCATACAATGGTTGGATACTTGGATGAATGAAATATGAAAATTGAAAAATGGAATACATTAATAAAATATAAAAAATGCAATATAGTTACAAATTGAAAATACAAAATTACATTGTTAAAAAATAGCAAATAAATTAAATAAAATTAAAACAAAATTTACAATAATTTGAAAAAATGTTGTACAACTATTGTTCATCAAGTTTATTATCTTCAGCTAACAAAAATGATTGTTCAGCATGTACAATGTATTTTGCTAATTCTTGTCTCATTTTTTTCTTGAGAATATTTAAATGTACCAACCCCCCCAGTCAATTTGTGTTTGTGTTGTTTCTCTCCCTTCTTCTTCTTCTTCTTCTTCTTCTTCTTCTTCTTCTTCTTCTTCTTTCTCATAGGTGAACAAATGTCTGCCCAAATGACCAGTGCCACCCTTGCTACAATAGTTAAAGTCTTTCCTACATTTTTAACAAACAACTCTTTTTCCCTTCCCCTCAACCTCATCTACTTTAAATATTTTCCAACCGGGCTAATCAACTTAGAGGCCCTCTTTTTCTTTCCCCTAGTATTAGTACTAGGGGTAGAAGTTCCATCAATATCAATAACATCCATATAAGTGCTAACACTATCATCATGCGATTGAATATCGTCGACATTGAACATGTCGGGGAATTGGTTTTGAGAGGAGCCGGCTGTTTTTTAAAATTCTAAAAAAATAAAAATTAATTTAATTGGACTTACTCGGATTGCCGGTTCGGAATCCCAACTTGATTTCAACGGTTGAAGCCTTTCAACTCTAACAATCAAAGCCTCCCAAATTGCTAACTTGAGATACTTGAGCTGGTTGAGCAAGCCTTCTTCTTGTTGAAACTTCAATAAAGTTGAGAATTGGAGAATCAGGCAATCAGACTTCAGACTTCAAAGAATGTATGGCCATGGTTTTTAAAAACGAAACGAAAACAGAACTGGTCAGGGGACCGGTTTCTGGTTAAGCAATTCAACCGTTCGGGTCGAACGGTTCGACCCGTGATGTCATAAATAAATTAAAAAGAAAAAATATATTTATAAATAATAAAAATAGCATAAAATTAAATAAAAAACAAAAAAATACATAAAATAAAATTATCTAAATAAAAAATAAATATTGTACAAAACACATAGAAAATATAAAAATAAAATATAGAAAAATTCTAAAAAATACATAAAAAGCACAAAAAAATAAAAAAATACAGGAAAAAAGTAGAAAAATAAAACTATCTAAATACAAAAATAACAAATTACATAACAAATAGAAAATACAAAAAAGTACAAAAAATACTGAAAAAATACAGAAAAAAAATTAATCTCATGACTATACTAATGCACCTTGCGCATATTAGCATAGCTTCTAGATGCAGTTGTTTTTCAACTAGCGAGTAGTGAAAACTGAAAATTGAAAAGGAGTGAAGGAATGATAACGATTAACAAATGAACCTCGACATGGCTCCAAGTGTTTTTCAACCTCTGACTGCAAACTCCCCGCCAGTCACTGCAAACTCGCCGCCTACTGTTGCAAACTCGCCGCCTACTGTTGCAAGTCAACCGCCACTGCAAACTTGCCTACCGCAACTGTTACTACTGGAGCCTAGAAGTGTTACAAAATACGCTAGTCGTTGATTGCCGTCAGTAGCTGTGTGTCGCCGTCAAACGCCGTAGGTGCTGGCCGCGCAGGTGGTCGATTGGGTGTGAGGGCTGAGAGGAGGGAAGGGTTAGAATGAAAATGGGGTTCTAACCCTAAAGGGCCTAAACATTCAATTTGGGATGGGGATATTGAAGTCATTTTTTTATTTTATTTAAAACAGTAAAAATAAAATGGATAACCCGTGAACCACTGCCCAGGTTGAACGGTTTAGCGGTCTGACCGCCTGGGTCAGTAGTTTTCTAACTTTTTCAATGTTTTTAAGGAATTTTTGGTTTATAGTATAACCAGACCCAGGGGCTAACCGGTTATCGATTTTTTCAGTCCGGTTCGATCCGGTTTTGAAAACCATGTGTATGACAGTATTAGAGAAGAGATTAAGAGAATTGTTGAATTGGTGTGATGAGAATGGTGGAGGATAGGGCTATTTATAGGAATTGAAAGTAAATCAATTGCCCAAAATACCCTACAAACTAGCCATTTTTTAGTCATTGGGAGGGGTATTTTGGTCATTGTAAAGTTATTTATTAGTTTACCCAAAATGCTCCATAAACTAGTTGTTATATAGCTGTTGGGGGCATTTGTGTCATTTTTCTCCCCCCCCATAAGCAAAATACATAAATTCCCCCCTATATAGTTGTTTATAGCTATTTATAGCTATTGGGGGGTATTTCTATAAAAAACCCCCCAAAAAGCCCCCCGACAGGTAGTTCTCGGGTGGACCGAGCATGGCCCGCTATAGGCCATGCCGTGTCGTGCCGGCCTGTGGACTTCAAACACTAGGCCCAACATGGCATGGACCATCATGTCGGGCCTGGCACGGCCCACATGCCATCGTGTTGGGCCTCGGGCTGATTTACACCTCTAGGCCCGTATTTGTAAGGGGTCCGGATGTAATAGGCACGTTAGGTAAGCACACTGAGTGAGCACCTATTAGCTGTGTGACACCTATCCCAGCTAATTCGCCTTTCATCTTAATGTTTTTGTCCCGTTAGGAGTTCTCTATTGTTTTACTATTTGTGTCAAAATAATTAAAAATAAAAAAACCATGAAAAAGGAAAACCTAAACGTGTTGGGAGTTGGAAGTACTCGGAACTCATTGGACTCTCGATCTCCAACCTTCTGTCGTTTAAGTTTCAATTATAAAGAGGGTTTCTCTCTCACTGAACTCATCTTCTTCCTCATTCGGTGGGTTCTAAATTTCTACTACGGGTGTTGCTTTTAAGGGTGCAAAATTTATGGATTTTTTCTTTGTTTTTGCATATTTGAGAGATTTATTTTGGTTGGGTAGAATTGGAATTTGACTCCAATTCTTGGTATAGAATGCCACTCCCCCATTCCCCCCTCCCTGAAATAAGAATCCCCTACTAGCTTATTCCAATTCCAATTCCTATCATAATCAAATAGGTGGGGGAATAGACTAATTTCGATTATAACTATGATCCAAATGGACCCTTAGTTCTTAACTCTTATAAAAGAAAGTATTAACAAAAACTACACATTATTTGATGGGTAATAAGAGATTTCATCATTCCCGCAATAGTGTGATAAATTACAGAAATTCTAAATTATCCATCCTCTTGAGTTGTTGCTTGCCACGTAAGCAACACCTGGAACCAAAATGTTTATTAAAATAGGGACTAGAAATTAGAAGTTATGCATTTTTGTCTTAATGGACGATGTATAGCCACCTGGGAAAGAATTTCATGGTACTTGATGTGTACACAAAATACAACTAGGGAAGTTCAATCCCTTTGCCTATCATCAATTGAAGGGAGAAAAAAAACATTAATAAAGTTATTACCTTCACCCTTATCTACAGCAGATTTAACGATATAATTTTCGGCCATGATGTTACATAAACTATTATGTGCATGCCAATTAAAGTAAAAAAAAAATGGGAGATACTATGAAAAGCACTAGTAGGAACTAGGTAAGGAACATACTCCAATAACAACCTGCATCATTTATTGATATGACTGACCATTGAGCTTAAAATAAATTAACACAAAAAAGGAAAAAGAAGAAAAATAGAAAATTATGAAAGCCACAAAACTTTCAAATCAGGAATTACCTTTCAATGTCATTAAGGATGATAATGCTCAATGGTGAGTTGTACGCATTCTCAAACACCAGTGCAGAGAATATCAGATCATAAATGGATTTATTTCTTTTAAATAACAATCAGATTCTATCAACAATGTACCTCCCCAGGAATTTTCACTGCAAATGAAACAACAGAAAGCCTCTTTCTTTGGATAATTATGGCTCCCTTTGGTTCCACATTGGATTTTTATTTATTTTTTGGATAGAGACACAGTGAAATGTTATTTACTATATTTGGTTGCAGACAAGAATCCATGGAAGACAAATATTTTCCAAAAAATATAATAAGAACATGTCAATCCATTCTAAGCCATTTTTCCGAAAGAGGGTTGGTCCTCTCAATCAAATCATGTGAAATCCATTATGGTTTATTTATTTTCTAATTGAAGGCATGAAAAAATTAGGAAAATTATTTGTTTTCCCATTCAATGAATATCAATTTCTTAGGAAAAAAATATGTATATGTACTTTCTTGCATTTCACATGAAACAAGACCATGGTTTTTAAAACAGACCCGAAGATCAAACTATTCAGGGGTTTGGTTACCGGGTCAAATGGTTGGTCAGTTCTAACAAAAAAAATTAAAAAATTAAAAAAGGTCAAAACTGTTCGGACGATTAATCGCCTGGATCAGCGATTTGTTAACCAAAATCAACGGTTTTTGAAGAAATTCTGATTTTGAAAACCATGCCAAAGACAATCTTAAAATAAAAACAACAATAATCTCTCCATGTGCAGGAATCTTCTTTATTTTTTAAAATT